CTACCAAGGGAAAAGTTCTGATTCAAATTGCTTAAGGCCAACCTTTCAGCACAGCAAAAGGAGGAGGCAGAGACACAGATGGGAAACAGGAGAATGATAATCATCTATATTAATTACTAGACAACCTGTGACCTGATAGGTCATCAATCCACAGATATCTCTTTACCAGATTCCTCAATGCCTTCAACAGTGACAGAGTTTCTAATATGCTGCATTTAGTAGAAAAGTTAAGGTACGTTCAGAGATGTATCTGCCTTAAAAATAATCCATGTTGAACTGCACAGCACAAAATATCAACATAGGAAATGTTTTATGACATTTTGCATTATGTCATAAACTTCTTTGATAATGTTTATGTCATAAAATTTATAAAGTTTGCCAAATTTTAATTTTACAAGAGTCATGGGTTTTCAGATTTTGATTGCATTCTGCAAGTTAGCTCATTTGAGGTACCTCATCTAGTTAATAGTTACAGGATTTTAATAGTATATAGATCAGCGGCTCCCAACCATTTCTATACCACACAGTCCTAGAATGCTTCTGATATATTCTCGCACCCCTTACAAAGTTTGAAATAATGGCAATGAATTATGCATATACACTATAATTTTGAAAACCCAAGTTTTCACACCCCCTGGAATATCATCTTGCACTCCTGGTTGGGAACCCCTGATATAGATCTATGCTACTAGTGAGCCTTATCTAAATCTTAATATGCATACAATATTATGTATAATATTAACAGAATCTAAAGCAGGCTCAGTAGTTGAGCCATTGTGCCAAGCAAGAAGTCACTTCATGACTGACTGGACTCACACATTGCATGAAGACACTCTTTAGGCATTTTAAGAACACTTTTTTCCATGGCCACTTAGGACTGCTGCAGGGGGCAATAACAAAGCAATGTAACCAGAGAAAAGGGAGACCCTGTGAATGTCCTGAAGCTTTGGTGTAGTGATGAAAATATATGTGCCAAACATGTTGAATGCTATTTCACTTTTTTAACAGCAGTAAGTCGATGTTCTGTACAGATTTTGTTGCACAAACTGTTGAGGCTGAAAAAAGAGAGTCAGTGAATGCCAAGGTCTGTGAGGTCATTGACCACTGGTTGTCACTCCTGCCATGTATCCTTACTTGCAAACTCCTGATTTCCTGCCACACACCAGAAAAGAACATTATGGTTTCTTGCAGTCCGTGATCCTTGTGTATTTTCTATGCCTCTGTATTTCTTATCTATCATTGTGCCACCCGAATCCCCTGCAGATCCCTCTTGAGAGACACAGAAGGGGCATGGATGTATTTTTATGCCTGGTCTTCACTAAGGCAGCCCTCTTGCATCCTGCTGACGCACCCTACAGCCTCATGGGGGGGGGCGTTTCCACAGGGTGCCATAGCAACATAGTGTGTAATGATAACTCTGGAGCCTCGTGTCTGCCCTGATAGGGAAGGCCTCTCTGGCGTTCGCCCTCGCCAAGGTGACAGACCATTGTACCTTCCTGACAAAGGAGCTTCATTGGAAATCACGCCCCCACAGCTGCTCTGGAGGGTGGTTCCCTCCTCTCCTCACTGCTTTGTGCCTCTGCTTGCCATCTGTTTCCCTCTATACCCCCTCCCCCCTATTTCTTAAGAGAAACAACAGCAGATTCAGAACAAGCAAAAAGAATTCATGTTTTTGTTGTAGTTGTTGCTCAATTGACCATCAGTTTAGTATGGAATGTGTGGCCAGGAGATGAAGATGTTTTAAGGGCTTGAAAAGGTAATTCGGCTAATCTGTTGAAAAAAAAGGATATGCTTGGCGAGATTGTGTATCTGTCATGAAGACTAAGGGGCATCGCTGGTTGTGGGGCATTCTCTGTGAGGTCAGTGATGTTAGTGGAGAGGAGCAATCCTAAATGTGGGCTATTAGTTTGTAGCTTGGCAATAGGAGACCTAAAATACTAATTGGACCACTATTGGAGATAGATGTAGGTTTGGTTTGATAGATATCACTTCAGTAAGTCATGAGTATGAATTATCTGGATCCTCTGCAACCAGGATTCAGGTTTGGGCATGTGGCTAAAATGGCAGTGGATGCTTTGAGGGTCATCCTCTTGGTTCTGTAATCTTTTCAGTAGTATTTGATATGAAAGACTCTGGTATCTTTCTAGCTCATCTACAAGGGTTGGGAGTTGGGGATATCATTTTGTGGTGGTTCTGCTCTTATCTGAGTGAGTGGTTCCAGTTGCTGGTAATCAGGAACAATGCTTGATCTCCTAGGATCTCTAGTGGGGGGGTCCCATAGCTCAATGGTCTCCCCCATATTATTTAATGAAACTGCTGGGGGAAGTCATCTGTCCATTTGGAGTGAGGTATCAGCAATATGTTAATCACATCTACTGATATGTCTTCTGGGCTGGACTGGAGATCCCACAGAAGTCCTGAACCAGTACCTGGAGGCTATGGGAATGTGGATGGGATGAAACGAACTTGTATCAAATCCTATCTAAATGGACTTGCCCTTTGTCGATACACGGCTGAGCAATCCAATAACACTAGTCCCAACACTTACTCTGGAAGGGGTCAGGCTCCCCATGAAAGAGGTCCTTCTTGACTCTCAGCTCCTGTTAAAATAGTAAGCGCTGTGGCCCGGGGGGGGGGGACTTTCCTTCAACTTCAGGTTTTAACATGGACCAAGATACTCTGACTCTAACTCATGCTTCGATCACCATCTGGTTAGGTTACTATAATGCATTGTTTGTAGAGCTGCCTTTGGAGATGACCCAGAAGCTACAGTTGGTGCAAAATGTGGTGGCTAGACTATTGATAGGAGTATCGTGCCAGGAAAAATAACATCAATTCTGAAGTCACTGCATTGGTTACCAGTATGCTTCCATGCCCAGTTCAAAATGCTGGCTATTACCTTGAAAGCTCTATATAGAGCTTCAGTTGGTCTCCCATTTGTCAAGACATTTCCATGTTGGGGAACAACTGAAACCCTTTAATTTCTGCTTGCTGTGGAGCAAAAATTAGAGGAGGAAAACCTTTAGGGATTAAGAACTACTTTGCAATCCAGTCTTTTAGGAAAGTGGTTCCTTCTCCTACGCAGGCTTTGACGGTGCCAGTTGGACTACTTCAGATCTTCTGCTGTCCCAAGTGGTTGAGTTGTCAATTGTTCAAAATAAAATCTGAGATTTGTTTCCACTGTTGCGGACAATGCCTTTTTTCCAAAACAGCCTCACTGACAAGTGGTTGCTCAATTTAGGGCACAATCATGCCAAATTCAGTCACTTGAACAGGCCAATAAGCAAAAAAACTTTAAAGGCAGATGTAGACTGTGCATTTATACATTAGGTTTTGATTTTCCATTTGTTTCCTAGAATCCTAACCCTTGCTTTATGACCCCCATCCCCACTTCAGTGTCTTACTGTACAGCTATTTAGAGTTCCCAGACAACATAGGCATGTGCATAGTGCATGTGCGTAGTGGAGTTGAAGTCCACGAGTCATAAAAGAGCCAAGTTTGCCTACCCCTGGCCTAGTGCTAGTAAATTTTCAATTTATGTGCCCTTGAAAAACCAGTCCTTGTCTTACAATAACTTGTTTAGCAACTGTTCAAAGTTATGATGCTGTTGAAAAAAGTGACTTATAACCAGTGCTTGCACTTTTGGCTATTGCAAAGCCACTGTGGTCATGTGATAAAAATGTGGATGCTTGGCAACTGTCATGTCTTTACAAAGTGTTCCAGGGTCACATGATCACTATATGTGATTTTCCTTGCTTGTTTCTGAGAAGCAAAGACAATGGGAAAAGACAGATTCACTTAATGACCAGGGCGATTCACCTAATGAGTATGGCAAAAAAGGTCATAAAATCAGGCACGACTCAGTTCATGATCATCTTACTTAGTGACATATATTCACATCCCAACTGTGATTGTCAATCAAGGACTGCCTGTATTGAGATGGATCACTGTGTCTTCCACATCTATTCATAAATTGCTTTATCTGATTATAAACTCAGCAGTTTTATTCACACAATATGCTACTTTGGTTAGTATTACTCTGGGTTAATTTTTTGTTGCTTGCCATATTGTGCAAGTCCAGCTGATTTAATTTATGGTCTACTATGTTGTGCAAACAAAGAAAATAGGTTAAGTCAGCCATCACGTTAAGCATGTTGTGCGAACATAGCCAAAATGACCCTGACCATGTGTCAGTCTATGATTATGCTCCACATTTCACATGCGAGTATCCTGCACACCATATGGCCTTCCCCCATCTTGGCAAAGGCTGGAAAGAACCCTGCTGCTTTTGTGTTGTTGCCATTTTCCTAGGGTCCAGGAGCATAGCTTTTAATGTTGATTCATACTGTGCTGCACATAGGTTGCTATGATTTTACTTAATTTTGTCTCTTAATCTGTGTTTGCTCGCTGGGAATGCTGGGGGGGGATACATTAGTACTGGGTAAACACAGCATACAACTCCCTTTTCCTGCACATGCTCCCAGCAGTTCTTAGCCAATGCAAACAAAGTCTGTTTTGCCAGCTCATTGGCAGCTCTGCATGGTGGTGGGATTATGCGCATATGTCTATAAGTCAGTTTAGGGGTGTTTCTATCATAATCAACAATATGAGACAAGCATAATTGCCAGTCCAACTTAGATTAAATTGCCAACTGACTGGAGAAAAACATGTTGAGTCCTTTGGCTTTTAACAGCCATTTTACCTGCAGAAATCAGTAAGCGAATCTTCTTTTCACAGCAGAGAAGTCAACGTTATGGCCTCACTAATGATGGAAGATTAGATTACTATTAAAGGCATAAGCGCCAGATCAAAAGTTAGCCAGCTTATCTGGAGCTGTTTTACATTGCCTCTGGCTATCTGAATGCACCTTGTACTGGCAAACAAAGTGTTAATTTTGCCCAGCAACTCTTTGTGTCCACCCATTTAGGAGGCAGAACCACATCAGGTTGATCTATAAAGACAGCTATTGGAGTCAGAGCCCTAGTGAGTGCCAGGTGAGGTTACCTATGTGGAACTGGCTGCCCCTGCAAGAAAGATCCTGGTGTTAGCTTTGACAGCTGGGCTGGACAGAGCTCTCCAGCAAGTACCATTTCCTTCACCATGGCTGTCATTCATCCTGGACGATCTGGGCCTTATATAGAACTGCAGATGGAGTCAAGGCCTGACTCGGATTTTGATTCAGATTCTGACAACCCAGTCTTCAACAGCACCAAACCTGGTTCTGCTTATCCTGCCTGCTCCCAAGTGATCCACAGTGGTCACTTCATGGTGTCATGTCCACACAGGGACTTGGTGCCCCGTCGGCGCCATCAACAGGTGGAGCCAGAAGTCCCTGATCCTCCAAGCATTGATCCCACTCTCACCCGCCTGTTTGAGTGCATGAGCCTGGCTTACAGGTGAGTCTGGGACAACTGCCTGCCTCCAACCATGTTCAATTCTTTTGACAGGTGGTTTTGAGAGATGACAAGTCTGCAGTCTGGCCACGGGGTGTCTTTTCTCAGGAATCCTGGAGGTTCTGTTAAAGTGCAGGGGCCTTTTTATCTAAGAGGGGAACAATCTGGAAAAGGCAACACAAAGGATTTGATGTAGGAGAGACAGGATTGGATTAATCTCAGAATTGAGGTTTTCATAGTTGAGAGAGTCAGAGATAAATCTGGCATCTCATAGTGGAGACAAAAATATGAACCTTGTGGATTTTTCTGTTAACCCACTCTGGTTTTCATTGTCTTTTTCTTTCTGAGCTGAAGTCCAGGTTTTTTTTTTTTGTGATTCCTTGAATTGCAGTCTCCAAACTAGCAGAAACATTAAGCTGTTAGTAATGATGAGTTCTGAAATTCATCCTGTGATTGCAGAATTGCAATCTTGCAAAAATGCAGATTGTGAATCTGTCAGGGTACAACATTTAATGAACTTCAGGGAAAACTTCACTCCAGATTATCACCACTTTCCCCAGAATTTTAGTAACCTGTATGCCAATGAAGCCCCTCCCAGGTTGGGGAAGCATTGGTACAGTCCGTGGAGCATCCAAAGCCTCCTTATTTGCTCCAGAATCCAGATAAATGCATTTTCTCCTGTGCTGGTCTGCCAGCTGCATCTGACCAACTAACTGCTTTGCTCAGAGTGTAATTTACTTTGGAACTCTATGCCACAGGATATTGTGATGGCTCATATAAGAAGGGGATATTTTCCTTGCTGCTTTTTAATTAATTCTCTTGCTAGTTTTATCCATTATATTAAGCCATGGTTTAACCATCATCATCATCTGCACTGCAGAGTTCACATTAACATTTAAATATACTGTAATAAATTCAAAAATTAAAATCCACATGAAATTGGTAAAATAAAAGGGGAGGTCTGCTATTGTCACCTTCTGGGATATATTTTTTTTAACTTCCTGCTTAGCCCTAGCCTATATCCTGTGCTTCTTAGAAGTCTCTTTCCATGTGCCAACTGCTTATCTTCCAACCCTAGATATGATTGGTCAAATATTACTGTTTATTAAGGAAGATAAAGTTGGTTGGGATACCACAATAAATTAAACTATTTGGTTTGGTGTTGATTAAGTATGTTGTGTGAAGTGATAGCGAGTCTGGTTTGAGTGTGAAACACGTAGCCCAGTGGTGGCGAATCTATGGCACGCATGCACAGGTGTGTCGCCTCAGTCCTAGGCCTTCAGCTGGGTTTTATAAAACCTTTTCGCTTTAGGCCTCCGCCGCCATGTGCAAAAAAAAAAAGGTTCAATCAATCAGTCAATTTCAACTTCTCGCGGGAAAAAAAAGATCTTGCAAAATTGGAATTGATTGATTGAACTTTTTAGTCCCACCCAGTCTGCCGTTACCACCACAGCCACGCCCACCCAATAGGCCATACCCCCATTTGGCCACACCTAGCCAATGGGCCACACCCACCCGACACCCGATGATGCATAAGTGGGTTTTGGGTTGCAGTTTGGGCACTTGGTCTCTAAAAGGTTCGCCATCACTGACGTAGCCTTTCCTTTCAATCCTAGGGAAGAAGGAAAAAAGATAAAGTCTTGCTATTGATGGAAACTTATGGGGACCTGCTTCTGCCTTTTGCAAAAGTGCTTTTGACCTTCCCCCCCCCCTCCGATAGCAAGACTTTATCCTTTTTTTTCTTCCTTAGGATTGAGAGGAACAGCTCTGTGCAGGAGAGGTCTTTTGATCAGAGGGAAATACATCATCAGCAATCTTTTCTTTTAACCAAGTTTCACCAATTTCCCGTAGAACTTTTGTGGTGGAATCACCCTGCTTCCTTAGTGGCATTTTAATGGAAGTCCAGATTTTGTAATTCATTTGAATCCCTCCAGTGTATCACAAGACCTTTCACTTTCTTTTAATCCAGGAAAGGGTAACATTTTTAGTCAAGCTATTTTCCAAAGCGCCTGAAGGCAGGACAAGAAGCAACGGATGAAAACTAATCAAGGAGAGAAGCAACCTAGGACTAAGGAGAAACTTCCTGACAGTTAGAACAATTAACCAGTGGAATAACCTGCCTCCAGAAGCGGTGAATGCTCCAACACTGGAAGTTTTTAATAAGAAACTGGATAGCCATTTGTCCAAAATGGTATAGGGTTACCTGCCTGAGCAGGGGGTTGGACTTGATGACCTCCAAGGTCCCTTCCAACTTTGTTATTATTATTATTAAGTATTATGAGTATTATTTATGAGCTGTGGTGGTACAGTGGTTAGAATGCAGTACTGCAGGCTACTTCTACTGCCTGCCTGCAGTTTGGCAATTCAATTCTCACCGGCTCAAGGCTGACTCAGCCTTCCATCCTTGGTAAAACAGTTGGTAAAAAGAGGAGCCAGATTGTTGGGGGCAATATGCTGGTCTGTTCCAACAAATTGCTGGTCTGCTCCAACAAGAGTGTACCTATATATGGGGGGGGGAAGACTTCCAAGCAAATAGCTTCTAATAGCAATAGCACTTATTATTATAATATATCGCTTCACAGTGCTTTACAGCCCTTTCTAAGCAGTTTATTGGTATATTGCCAACTAGAGGTTTCTTTTAAAGCCATCACTAGATTTGTGGAAGTGAATTCCTCACATTAATCTTGTGCTGTGTGTTCTCTTTCATTTTTTCAAATTCTCTGTCCAGTCGGCTTCATTGGGTGATTCCTGCTTCTAGAAAAAAATCCCCAAACATTTTATCTATGCTATAGATGACTTTATATCTTTCAATCAGGTTCCCCTTCTAATTTTTTCCAGGTGAAAGCAGATGATAGGAAGTGCCCTATCCTTTTCCTCTAGGGTAGAGGAAATTATTTTGCTTTCTCTTTCTAACTTGCCCTCTCATTTCAACTCATGAATGTGAACCTCACCATTGCAGTTAATAGATCATAGTTTAGTATATTATGTTGCCGACCATCTGGGGTTTGGTTTAGGTCAATTGGTGGTCCTTATTCCTCTTTCTTTGAAAGAGACGTCTTCATTTGCTTGCCTAAACATTATGGCTTTGAATATTGCTGTCCATCTGCAAAAGTCTGCTTGTGTATTTTTTTTTATGGAGAAGGTCAGAAAAGTAGCATTTATTTTGTAGTAGACCCTTCTCATCAATCCACTGGCAGTTTGGGACAGCCTTAGTTGCGGGGTATTGCAGCAAATGCCTGCTTAAATGAGGCCATTTTCCCAGCTTCCAGAGGCTGTTGGCTTCTGGACATGGTGTTCCCAAGCCTTGTTTACTTTGATCCATGGGGTGGCCCCAGTTCAGGCAAATCAGGAGATAGAAAGACTGTAAGGACATCCTGCCTGACACACAAACACCTGTGATCTCACTGCTGCCTAAGCACAATTCTCTCTGCTTTATATACACTGTGCTCTCCGCTACTCCCAGCCCTTTAAAGAAATGTCATGACAAGAATGAATATGGAGAAAATGACTCACTCTCCATTCATTCTGTAGAACTTGGGATCAGCTGGTTAAACTGAGCAGTGAGATCACAAGGACGCACTCTTCATATAAATGGCCCGGATAGATGTCATGTGGTTGGATCCTAGCAGTGGACAATTCTTCCTTGAGAGAGACGGTTGTTCCAGCCCTCGTAATGAGTTATTGGTTCACCCCCTTCTTGAGTAGCCATCACTAGATCCTACTACACTGGACAATTTTTATCGTTACTATATGGTACACTTTTATGAGATGGATGGTTATATAAGTATAATTACCTTATACAGGTAGTCCTCAGCTTAGGACCAGTCACTTAAATCACCATTCAAAGTTTACAATGGACCTCCTCAGAGTTACTTACAGCCTGGTTTTGGAATTATGATAGCTGCACAACCCCCTGCAGTCATATGATCCCATTCTGGGTGATTATCAATTAGTTCATTTTTATACTATGCTATGCATTTTCCAGTTTCTGCTATTTATTTCCAGTTTCCAGCAAAAATGCTCACTGGGGGAATTGATTCCCTGAATGACCACAATGTTCACTTAATGACTGTGTAAAACCAATTGTAATGTCAAATCTGATTACATGAGGCGTCATTTTACAATTGCAATAATTTACGACCATAATTCCATGATCAATTATGGACATACGTCAAGTAATTGTAGCCCTAGAAATAACTTTTTGCAGTTTGCTTAACAACCGTGGTGTTCACTTAACTGTTGCCCCAAAAAGATTGTGAAATTGGGTCAGTCACATGGGTGACCCATTTTACAACTATCACAACTTATGACTATAATGGGCAGGGTCCATTACAGTCATAAATCAAAGATTAACTGCAATGTAACCTTACGATAAAAATAGAGCTAGTACTCTTGAATGTGGGGGGATTTTCATTATGACTATCACTGCATGCATGCTGTTTCTTCATTATGGTTATATAAAAATAACTTCGTGATTAAATCTGCTCCTTTACCTATGTATTTCTTTTTCCCCATCCTTTGCTTGCGTTTGCTTATTTTTCTGTGTCATATTTCTTCCTGCAATCATTTATTTGATGGCAGTGTTGATACATTTTTATCCTGAAAGTATTCTCGGGGGGTTTGTTGCAAAAACTGACAACACCATTGTGATGATGGTTGGATGCCATCTTGGGCAGTTTTGAAACTTTGTGCCAAGAAGAAGCAAGTATAAATGAATTATGATATTTAGCATGTTTACAAAATTTTCTCAAGGCTTTGTTCCTCAGCTCTACAATTTATTCTTAACTTTCAGTTTCCTACACTTTGGAGAGGGCAATAATCCCTCTCTCTCCCATCCATCCCAACTTTAACATTTTTAGAAAATCCTGTCCATATCCTCAAGTATATAGCTGTTATTGTCGGAGATAGAAGCAATGCTTTATTTTGATATGAACAAAAGTTGGGATTTACAGATAGCTGGACCTTAAGTTGGAGCCAGGTTGGTCTTCTGTATTCCTGAATTC